TACATGATTTGTTCAGGCCACGGCTTTCTCCTTAGTGCATTAATCTGTATTTATCATCATTGAATTGCCCCTGCATTATCTTCTGCAGTTTTCGAGCATGGTGAGATCTTCCTCAACTTGTCACAGTCATTTTCAGCTTTTGCCAGCACGAATAACTTTATAATGCCAGAAACTTTTTCATTTCACTGTTTACTGCTTTTTCTCAACCACTTGCTAAATGCATTGACTAGAAAACAGATGCCACCACGGTGCCTCTCAAATTAACACCTAAGCTGTATTTCCTGGAATCTGTTTGGGGCTTTTGAGAACTTTCCATTATGATCAGCAAAATCATCACCTGAAAATTTTATATCAAAATGGCTATATTTTTTAATATAAGAGAAATGTATTGATTGTGAGGGCTGGAGGTATGCAGAGGAGGAAAGCCTGCTTTCAAAAATACACATTGAAATAACATCAGGACTCAGAAAGCCAGGTTCACCGATGGCTGACCGTCCTGGTTTCAGCTTGGATAGAGTTAATTTTCTTTCTAGTAGCTGGTACAGTGCTGTGCTTTTGATTTAGTATGAGAATAATGTTGATAACACACTGATCTTTTTAGTTGTTGCTAAGTAGTGTTTGTCCTAAGTCGAGGCTTCTTCACCCCTGCCAGGGAGGAGGCTGGAGGGGCACAAGAAGCCAGGAGGGAGCACAGCCAGGACAGCTGACCCCAACTGGCCAAGGAATATTCCACACCACAGGCCGTCATGCCCAGCTTATAAACCGGGGGGAGTTGGCCGGGAGGGAGAGATCGCTGCTCAGGGCCTGGCTGAGCATCTGTCAGCAGGTGGTGAGCAATTACATTGTGCATCACTTGTCCTTCTCAGCGTTTATTTCACTCTCTTTTTGTTATCTTCCTTTTCATTGCTATTATTATTTTTATTTTAAATTTCAATTATTAAGCTGTTCTTATGTCAACCCACGAGTTTTTCTTGGTTTGGGTTCCCCTCCCCATCCCGCCGGGGCGGGGAGAGGAGTGAGCGAGCGGCTGCCTGGTGCTCAGCTGCCGCCTGGGGTTAAACCACGACTCTGACAACATCATTAAGCTCTGAACGCCAGAGAAGTGTCAGCAAAATGTTTAAATGTGGCAACGTGCTTCCCCTCTGCTGCAGGAAGGGGAATGCCACGGTCCCTGGCTCCCTCTCCTTTCACCTTTCCAGCCCTCGGGCACCCCAAGCTCCTGGCCGTGGGGGAGCGCTGGGCCCAGTGGGGGGGGGGTGCCCCACGCTGCTCGGGCTGCCCACCCAGGCTGTTTCCCTTCTCTCGGGAAGCAATTTTGAATCCCTGCAGCCAGAGAAGGGAATCAAAGCAAAGTCTCTCATTTCCTGGGGAAGTGCTGACACCACCGGCTCCTATGCAAAGCAGAAGGCTGATATTTATACAGCGTTTCTTCCTCTGCTGGTTGTGCTGTCGAATGAAAGTATTCGTGGTGGCTGTGCTTCGAGGGAGCCTGGGCTGGCCACGTGCACCGGGACTTGCTCGCCGGAGAAGGTCCGGGCTGGGCCCACGGTTGTGCCCCTGACCCCAGCAAAGGAGCAAGAGGGAGCTGTGGCAGGGGCTGGGCTCGGCTCCTGGCCGGCCTCGGGCTCTCTCTGTGCGCGGGTGATGCTCTCAGGCTCAGGCGCAGACGCAGGTGCCAAGGGAGAAGCCCCACAGCTCAGCCCTTTTCCTGCCCCAAAAAGCTGCCAGGTCTGGCCCCGGGACTCAGCAATGATGCGAAAGGTCTTGTGCATGGAGGTGCGGAGTGGCCACGGGCGGGGGCCGTTCACCCGTCAGCTGGCACAGTGAGAAAAACTACATTTTTTATTTTATAAATAAAGCATCTCTGCCTGAGGGAGTGGCAAAATGGTGGAAGTGTGCAGTGCAGAGCCAGATTTAACAGCTTCTGCCTTCAAATGTCCTGCCCCGTGTAATTTCTAAACGTCACCTCTGCCCTAAAATAAACATCACCAAGCACTACTGGTAAACACAGACCTGTGTTTGCCAGTGTAAATAATGATTATATTAAATCTGTGGCATGGGTTTACATTTTTAAACATGGGTTGAATCAACAGTATAATCTTAAATGCCAGTTGATAGTGAATTTGGCTGTTGCTTTTGACCTTTCCCTTCTTGTAGACAGGTAAGAAAAATACCAGAATAGATTTCCAAAGAGATAAAGGCAAGAAATACCTTCCTCGCTTCCCCCTCTTAGGACACACAGAGGTTTTTTTAATTATATAACACTGACGCTGGTAATTAACCAGCTTGAAGACTATCAGAGATTACTTCAGTTCAACGGCAAGTTAATGAATTAACTTCTAAATGGGAGCAGAAGTGGGAATAGGTCAGCTGCCTTCCAGGCAAGCCTTGCAGCTATCATCAGCTGAAACCATTAGCACAATAAAGGCCCTTATCTAAAGATGTTATTAAATGTGCAACTTGGGGATATGGAGATGGCTGGACGTGCCCAGGGTATCGGTAGGAAACTCTCTAGGACAAGGCAGCAAAGGAGAAATGCAAGTGTGGAGGGAGGGGAAACACCGTCCCTATCTGCATCTCCTCCAGGAAAGCAGCCCCGGAGCGGGGGACAGACAAAACCTGGAGCAAGGGAAATAGTGGCGAAGGGGTTGTAAGAAGGTGTGAACTGAGCCGGGTGTGGGGCCAGGGCTGGTTTACTTCACACCCTTTCATGCTCTCCGGCTGCTTTTTCCTGCTGCCGCCGCACCCTTCTGCTCCCTCCACAGGGGCCCGGCAGCTTTCACCACCGTGAACCCCGGCTCCAGGTTTGGCCCTCGGTTTGTGCAACGGCAAGGTCACCAACAAACAGGAAGAGTTATTCATTTCTTCCTCGCCTTCAGATGAACCCGCTCCCCACAAAAAGTCACCTTTGGGCACCTGCAGGCTGAAACACCTGGCGGGGTTGCCTCGCCCTGGGCCGCAGGCGGCAGGGCCGGGAGGGGAGGCAGGTCCCTCCCTGCAGGCACTGAACCCGTCCTACATAGCAGGGGCAGCGGAGCTACCCCAGATCTGCTGCCACGGCCAGGCTGCTGCCTGCACCCCCGCATCGCTCGCTCACAGCCTCTTGCTGCACCCTGAAATGGCTGCAGGCACATGGAGCCAGAGAAGGGCCCTGCGCAGCGGCGAGAAAAGCTGGTTCGGCAGCGATTGGGAAGGGCAGGAGTAGGGGGGAGGCAATTTCTTCTAGCGAAATAATTTCTAAGCCTCCGTCTTGCTATGGGCTGTCCGTACCTGTTCTGAGGGGAAGAGAGGACAGAGGGAATAGGACAGGAAATCGAACTGCTTGTGGTTTCTTTTGATCTGAAAGCATCACTGTGTCAAGTTTCACACCTGAAGAGCGGTTGCAGCTCTCTGGTTTCCCTTCACGCCAGTGAGTGCAGTGCAGCCTCCCCCCTCGCGCTGCAGCCTGCGGGCTCCGGCTCAGCCTCGGCTGCTGCGAGTGAGAAGCTCTGCCCAGTTCTCTGCAGTGGTCCCAGCACAAAAGGACGAGAGACGGGCTGTCAGCGGGGTTGGCTCCTGCAAGCTGTCGCTACAAAGGGTGGTGAGCTGCCCGTGAGCCCCACTGCCCCAGCCCCAGCGCCAGCACGCCGGCGGTGCCGTGGCTGCAGGAGGGCTCGGCAGTGGAGATAAAAACCTAGACACAGGCAGGGGGAAAACACACTTATGGGCAGAGGGAATCGGGGAGGTATGAGCCCCACAGGCTGCTTAATCTGTGCCCTTCATCGCAGCTACCTGTGCTCCTGCTGAGCAGGACATCTCTCCGCGGGATACATTTACCACGCTGGCTGCTCCTGACGAGGAAAGTTCCGTGCAGATTCAGTCCCAACAGACAGGCCAATACACCTTTCTCAGCTTTTGGAAACAGAGTTTTATTAGGCACAACGTGTTGATATACCTCCCCAGTTCAGATGACCCTATGTATAGCTCACATTAAGGGCCCTCTTCACCAAATTGATTTGAGGGATTATTATATCCCATGGCTTGTCCTTTCACACAGTTTTCTTATTGGTACATTTCTTTATTAGCTATAAAATGATTTCTGGAAAAATATAACTGTCCTTATTCTCCAGAGCCTAACATTTTCACGAGAACTGCGTAACACAGAAAGGAACACAAGGGAATACATCTCTGAGAACTCTCTTTGGCTTGTAAACTGAGGTGACTGAGGAACAGGATAAAGCAGGATTTAGAGACCTCGCTGAGGCTCAGCTTTCAGCGCCGTGTAGCTACAGCTCAGGATGCCTCCTGCCTTACGCTGAGCCCTGAGCTACATGCTCGGCTGGCTTAAAGTTCTCCAGCTGTATCACACCTACTCCACACTCACTGCCACGGCTGCCGTGCAGGCTTCCCCAAAGGTGACACAGGATGGACAGAGAAAACGTCCCAGCAGACACCCCAAGGAACACACACCCTATGTGCAGCGTTTGCGTAGGTAAAAGGGAGCAAAATGCTTTGAAAGGGGAAAGAGGGGAAATGCATTAGATAAAATTAAACAAAGTCTGGAGATCTGGTAAAGAGCGGTCTCCTGAGACAGAGGATGGAAACCCCTGTCATCGGGAATCACTAAAACCGATGTGGAGATGATGCTAGAAATGGGCATGGACGCTCCTTGAATGCTCGGGGATGGAGCAGAAGCACCACGTGAGAACCAAGTAGCAGCTTGCCCAGCCTGAGAGTAGGTTTCCCATAATGATGCTCCGCCGAAGCTTCCCAACACATCTCACTGTACCCATTCGGTGGGGAGGGAACATTTCCCGCAGCCCAGCTGACACTGGTGACACCTCGGGATGGGAATGAGCTGGTAGCATCACACCCGTAAAGGGGACACGCCTGCGGAACGTGCTGCACATCCCCCTCCCTGCCCTGGGCATCGTACGCTTCTGTATCTCCTCTCTCCTTCACAGAGGGTTGGAGGTCAGTGCCTCCATGTCCAGGAGAGCTCTGAAACAGCAGTGTGGCCTTTACAGTTTTTGCAAAGTCCAGCCCGTTCTGTTCCACATCTGCAGCTCATCCAGTGGTGCTGCATCCCCTGTGAGAGCAGGGACCCAAAAGGCTAAAGCTATGAGTATTATATTCCTCAACTATTTCTGAGTGCTGCAAATACGCCAGGCACTGAAATTCAATAAAACCCTTCAGTGCTAGGTCTTCAGTTCAGTCTCTCCAGCTTGCACAGTATGGTAAATAGGAATAATTGATGAGTACAGCCAATGTGAGTCCAGCACCGGCCCAGCTGAGATTTACCTTGATTAGTCTAAGCAGCCAGATGTTAACTGAGTGACTCACTTGCATTTAAAGCTAGTAAAATAAATTTAAAATCATTTTTAAAATCTAAAATGTTGAAATGCTTTCTAACCAGTTAATTAACAATTTTGGTATACATTGTCTTTTTGCTTATTTTTTTATTTTATAAGTAATTAATTTCAAAAAAAAAAAAAAGGAAACAGTTCAGCTAACTCAGCTAAAGGTGAGAGAATGTTTTATAAAGGCAATTTCCAAATACAGAAATATCACTTTTAAAAATGCCTTGAATCTTAAATCTTAAAAAGAAGAAAGTAAAACTAAGATATGTTTTGCATTTCAATAAAAACCAAATATTTAGTCCTCCAAAACAATTGTTGCACAGATAAATGAAACTATCTTCTGGACCACACTGTCTGGTCAAAGAGAAAAAAAGTTCCTTCTTTCTGAAGATAAATTATGATAAACTGAGAATAAAATGGACGAGGTTCTGCTCTTGCTTCATGCCAGTGTAAATCCACCACCTTTTAATCATTATCCCTTCTTCGTGCTCCAGACAGCTGAGGGATCTGAAACTGTTTCCATCGATAGTTTCCCATGTCAAGCAACTCAGATCTCAGGCACTTGTGTGAGGACGAAGGTGACAACGAAGCATAATTAAAGCGGTTGCCGCCCCAAGCAGCTGTAGCTGTGTTACATGGTGGGGGCACTGTCTTAGCCTCTTCCTGACTCTTGTCCCTTCACACCTCAAGTTTTAGCCTGGTTTGTAAGCGGAACAGCCAGCTGAAATGGAGACCTACACAGTGACCACGGTGTCTGGCCAGTCTCACCCAGCAAGATGAACGTCATGGCCAGCTGCAGTTGCGCAGTGGTGATGCAGCCCAGCCCCATAAACTCCTTTATCATTTATGCAAAGCAGAGAAAATGACTTCCCTTTTGAAGGATAAGACATCTCCCTCCCACCCCTTCCTTCTAAACCCTCCATGCCTTTGGAAGTTCTTGCACTGGCCCCACAGCAGGCCATTTCTGTGCTACCTCACTGAGATTCCAGGCCACTGTCCTCCAAGCTGCTGAGGGCTTTGGTCTTAATCCGGAGCTTGTGAGGTAGGGCAGCACAGCTTCGGCCCTTCAAATGATCTTCTGAGGGGCAGGGCAGGCTGCATGGGGGTAGAGGAGAAGTTTTGGGCACTTGTTGCTCGTCATCTTCATCTGAGACAGTTGTGCTGCTTTCTTTGCTCACCTCGGCTGGACTGGGGGAAGGGCACAAGAAGCAGGCACTGCCTGACAAAGGCACGTGGAATGCATATTTGTCTGGGAGGTGGTTATTGAGGAATGGATAGCAAACGGTGGATCTGAAGGATGCGTCAAGCCTCTTTGGCTGTTGAAGGCCAGGCGTGTCCATGGGAGCTGGCTTTGGGTCACAGCCGAGGATGTTTCCAGATGGGCCAGAGGTTTTGCAGGAAAAGTCAGCTGGCTCCAGCACCTTCGGCACGAAACTTTTTGTTGTGAAGAAGCAGGACTCCCCAGGGAAGGGCTCCATCTCGAGGAGTGGGGACGCTGCTCTGTGCCCTCTGAAATAAACTCCCAAGAAGTCCTGGAGGGAGTGGCCCTGGTAGGTGCTGGTGTCTGGGCTGATGAGCCCAAAGCGCAGCTTCAGAGAGAGCAGCTCTGTCCTGAGGATGGCATTCTCCTCGCTGAGGGCAGCCAGCTGGCTCTCCATGGCGAAATCATTGAGGCGCCTCTTCTCCCGTGAGCGCTTGGCCGCCTCGTTGTTCTTGCGCCTCTTCTCCCAGTACATGTTGTCCTTCTTCTCATCCGGCATGAACTCCCGCTTGCGCCGGGAGGGACCGCTCGCCTTGCTGTGCAGGAGCTTGGCCTTGCTCTGCTGAAGCGCAAGCTCGCTGACGGTGCTCAGCGGTGCCATGAAGTTTTCCATGATTGCGAACACAGCCGGTGTTCTGCCGGAATGAGAACACAAAACCTGTAAGGGTGCTATTAATTAATAAATTAATGTAACCACGTGGTTGTTTTATCTCTGTGGCATTCGTAGCGTGAACACCCAGTGCAGCACTATACACACATGTGACCTGAGGACAGGGTCCCTCGGCTATTTCTGTTGTTTTGGAGCCACATTTTCAAAATACTATCGGCACATCAGTGCCCTCGCGTCTCAACAGTGCCTGCAAAGATCACCGCAGGCTACCCAAAAAACATGTGTGACTGAGCTGAATTTAAAAGGACATATTTTGCCGACTCAGTGAACAATCACAAACACTTTGCTTAACTAGCTTCAGTCAGGATAATAAAAATTGCTCTCACATACTAGTTATCTCCCACTAATCTCAAACTGCCTTACAAAGGAAATAAGACGCATTGCCTCTGTTTTACAGATAAGGAAGGCACAGGGAGAAGAACTGATTTACCTCAGTCACATACTTTAGCAGCTGAAGCAGAGTTACAAATCTACTGAATATATTCAGTCCCCGTTTTTCCCCCAAACCCCTGGTCCCACTCTGGAAAACCTGGATTTGATGAAGTCTATGATTCTGATAGATCTGTAAGAAAATGTAGGAGCTTGCAAGTACTTTCACTGCAGGTGCTGAGCAGCAGTATGGCACCAAGCGTTGGCACAGAAGTGTTTGTCAGAAGAGAATGACCATGGTAAGTTCCTGACTACTGGAAGAACCTAGCAGAGAAGACCAATGAAACAGTCCAAGTTGTGAAACGAATTAATAAGAGATCACGCTCCAGACATCCCCATCTAAGCTACAAGCTTCCTGTAACTGCGATCTTCCAGGAAAACCACAACAGCCCTCCTGTCTCTGGGCAGGCTGGGAGGGATTGTGCTGATCTAGTGTGAGTGTCTGGAAGCAGGCATCTGTATGTGGTCACCTCAGGCACCCTCCGTACTTCACAGAGACCTAGTGAGGGAGCTTAGCATGACATATATCTTACCCTGAAGTACTCACATTGGATCAGCCGAGCTCCCTGGTCTGTTTACTGATTTTAAGAAAGCCCAGAGTGATTAATTCTGATTTAGACCTTGCAGGCAACTTAGGTCTGGTGAGAGGGATCACATCTTGTGAGTGGAACTTAAGTTATGGGAAACTACTTTGTAGGGTCAATAGGAGACAGCTTGTTATGACCTCTGCAGGATGGGTAGAGAAGGAGCAGAGAAAGGATCCCACTCAGAAATGCTCCACTGACGGATGGCTTAGGGCCTAGTTCCCATCTAAGAGAAAGCTGGGCCAGAGGCACCAGCCAGCACTGAGCCTGGTAAACCATCAATATTACAGGATTACCCTAAAATGGTAAAGGGCAAAATTGTGTCAGTTTGATTAGCAAATAATGCACTGAAGTTTTGGTATTTGCCACATTTCAATCCCCACAGCCCTTGTGCAAGGCCCTTCATTTTAGCCTCATGACGAGGTGACCGTTGGGACCCACAAAGACCAACACACAAATAGTGGTCAGGATGCCCTCCGTGCTGTCTGGTGGGTTGCAGTGCACTTTCCTAGCACTGTAATGCACTCATGGTTCACCAACTAGTTAGAATAATAATAGTACCTGTCTATAGAATTGCACAGTGCTTTTCTGAGTCATGGGGACAACATCACCAAGGTTCCTGGCAGGGCTGGTCAGAGTGTTGGGGGGAGGAGGGCTGGATGACATTTTCAGCTGAAAACATTCCCCCTCTGCTCCCCAAGAAAAAAAGATGTTTCAGGCTGAAAACTGCATAAACTCAGAGGCAATAAAATCAACAAGACATCCAAAAGCCAATCATTACTCATTTTTTAGCCAGAAACATTCAGTCAAAGCATTTTTGTCTTTCAAACAGCTATTCAGGAATCAAATTAAATTAACATATTCAGAGCTACAAGTGAAATGAGAAGTCAAACTCCTTTAGAAAGCCTGAGCCATATACATCCATACAGTCAGATGCTGTGAGCTTGTGAAAATCTGGCATGTGACCTTTCTGAAAATCAACACAGCTGATAATCAGCATGACTAAAAGCCAACATTCTTGCTAAATCAATTTATTGCATGAATGACATGAATTGCTCTTTTCTTGGTGACTGATAACCATCTACAAGCAAAAGGGGAAGATATATTTCAAAATCATTCAGGACATCACTTTGGGCAGGTCCCTCTGTATGTCCCTCTGAACACAGAAGGGCACTAGTTCAGTGAAGGACATAGAGAAACAGAAATGATGAAGAACGATGCTTGGGCACTCCACTTGTTCTTTCACAGTAACATCAACACTAATCAAAAAAGCTCACACTTCTGTGGAAAAAAACCAAATTCTTAAACACTGTCCAGTTATAATTTGTGTCTAGAGGTTCTGAAAATTTCCAATGTTCTTCACTTTTGAAGTTCCATGCAAAAAATCACATTTGAATGGTCTAGTTTCCCAAGAGAGACTAGTGATTTCTTAAGAATCCAACTCATGAATCATATAAAGGACAACATTCTGGAAGCAAAGTACTCTGTTTTCTTACATAGCTCTTCCTCAAAATCAGATCCCTTTTAAAGGTATCTCAAGCTAGCACCCAACAAATGAGGCATAAAAGATTACTAGAGGATTTTGAAAATCAAACAATGTGAGAATGTATGCAAAGGAGTTCCATCATATACACAAAGAGTTATATACATATCGTACAGCAGAAATGTGAAGACTGAGCCTAAAAATGCTAATCTTCTGTAGAAGCTATTTGATTAAATATTCTGCTGCTTGCAGATAAAATATCAGCTATCTATTTTTACAGATTTAGAGACCTTCAGTATTGGCAGGTTGTCATCAGCTGTGATCTCTGCACAATGCAGACCTGTAAAACAGACAAATCCACATCTATTCACTATCTGAGTTTGCTCAGCATGACCGGAGTTTTGTTTTGGTTTAAATCAGGTCAAGTTCCATGAAAGTATTCTCCTTCACTGTGATTTTGTGATTTAATACATTTGGAATGTATTTATTCTAATTTAACCATAAGTCTTTGAGATCTCAAACAGTATGAAAAGTAACCCAAACAGTACAAGAGTAAAGACCAAAACAAAGAATGTCCTTTAGCATGAATGTGTTTGGGGTAATTCCTCCAGCTTTTGATCAAAATTGCTTCTGTTCTCAAAGCATCAAAGGGAGAATTTCAGTGAATGTACCTGTGGTTTCTGACAGCGTCAAGAGGCAGAAATATGCTATTGTTTCAGGGCTTAATCACTTACCAGGAATTTTTCAGGTTAGTATTTGACGTGACTTCTTTGTCAAATGAGTCAAAGATCAACAGGTGGCTTTTTCACCATGTAAACTCATCACCCGCATAGGGCAAAGTAGTTTGTTTTCTCCCTGTCCTTCTCTTGCTCCTGGTGCCTGTCATAAGAAGATCCCATAAGAAGTTTCAAGATTACCGTAACCAACATTCACTGTCCAATATAGCTGGGAAGCATGGGAAACAAAAGGGACCCAAAATAGGCATTTGTGAAACAGAACAAAAAAAGTAACAAAGAACCCGAACTCTTCCTTCCAGCAAACTCATTTCAGCACATTTGTTTAACTTTTCCCACATTTGTTCAATCCCTCACACTCTAATCCATTGTGCCAAGGTGGGAATTTCCTTCTGGCCCCACCTTAATGCTGCATGAATTGAGGCAGATGGAAGTGAAATAGTGAGAAGTGAGGGTTGAGGCCAGGAGAAGAGGCAGGAGTCACACCAGAGGGGAGGCACAGTTACACTTACTTGGAGGTGGGGAAGATTTGGAAGGAGGTTGGGTGTGAAGTGGGAGACAGAGGAAGTTCTTATCGGAGGCAGGATCTGGCCTTTTAAGGGCAAGGAATGAAGATTTAGCTGGGCGATTATGTGAAAGCATCAAGTTTTAGGCCACAGAGTCTAAGCTCTAGCTGTTATTTATATATGCAGCCCACAAAGTTGCACATATACCAACACTGTATTTGTCTTGGGAGTCTTCATGAGTGCAGACTCTAGCAATCAAGTGCACAAGGTGACACACAGTTTGTACTGATATTAATGGAAACATTAATATCAGTAACAGTGGTAGAACCATTTTGGTCAAGTGCATTATGCAATCAATATTTCCTAAGGTGCATTAGTATCTGTTGTTTCTGTGGCTATAAATGTAGAAGACAATTACTAATGTCTTGCCAGAACGTCAGCCATACTCTGCATTATCTGCATCCTGAACAGAAGAGAAAGCACCAAAAACATTGTAAAATGCTGGTGTTCATTCATTTTTTGCCTCTGATTTGCACTAAAACTGATAGTTCTGTTTAGACAGAGCATCTTTTCGAAGCCCTATTTCTCTAGAGATAACAGCCTTTGAATTTTTTCCAGTCTCTTACCTTTCTGAGTAGGCAGAAAACAAGCCACATTTTTATGTAAAGACTGTTAAATATATAAAGATAGGCAATAAAAACTATCCTTACCACTTCTACAATGTATCTGATCTGCTGTGAAGAGCTAAATGCGTAATGTCCTAGTTTAATGCTGATGCTAAACCTCTGTGGAAATGAGGACATGTTGTATTGAGGTTTTTCTACATGCACTCTATCTACCTGGTCGAAAGATCCTTATTTCTGGTAAAACTGCTTTCCTTCCACTAACAGAAGACCATCTTAGGGCTCAGGCTTCAGAGATTTGGTTCAAACCTATCTCCCTCTTTCTCTTATCTCCGCTCTGAGCACCAGATCAGAGTAGGCTGATGAATTGTACTTTCCAGCAGGTTGTACAAAGCCCTCCAGGAAAAACTTATATCTAACAGGAACTGATTCACTGCAGATCTGTGAGATGATATACATTTTTCTTTAATCAAAACACACTGCCTCATAAAACAGCTGGTGAATCTCACTTTTCTGTGATCGTAAATCAAGCCCTCAATCCTCAGATTATTCTTTTTCCCAAGGATGTAGTACAGTTAGAATAA